AATTTTCATCGGCAATTCAGAGCAGGTTCGGATGCGAAAAAGAGAAGCCAGAATAAAGCGGGCAGATGTAGATGTTATATACTTCAAATAAAATGAAGAGACTACCAACATATAACGGCAGGCTTGCAAAAAAGGCAATTCCACAAGTCGCACTGGATGCAACTGTGATATCCCGAGGAATGCAACCCCCCATGCTAGGCGACTGGTCCGGCGGAGAGATACCGGGCCACGCCACGACGCAGGTCCGAAGATCAGGTGCTTACATCCATGCATCCAATAGATCGGGTACCGAGTTATTGAGGGTAAGTAAGATGCTGTCACTTTCCATTCCATTTCATTTGGGATAAGCGAGTAGACAATGACTCACACCCAGAGTAAAATGCAAGCTCAACTGCACGAACAAAACCAAACCAGAGGATGCGAAGATCAATGTAAGTCGTGAAGTGAATTGGTCATAAAATTTTCATTTCCTAATCGTTCTGAAATTGTCATTTTGAGAGTTGGGGAGGGAGAGGGAGAAAAAAAAAAACCGCTGGCTACCAGGCCCCCTCCAAAACTCCATTGCGAATGCACTTTTTTGGTTTTTTTTTTCCTTTTCCCTTTTCCCCCGCCCCTTTCCTTGCCCTTCCTTTCGCTTTCTCCTGGTTCCTGCCAAGATGTGATATATCATGTCGTCGTGTCGTAATCATATGCATTCAGATGCTAGTAACAAAAGAAAGTGGGTTTCATGCATGCTGCTCTTCCCGTCTCGTGGGGCCCGCTCAGTCGGAGGGTCTCCCAAAAGAAGCGAGGAGAGTATCTTCTTTTTTCGAGTTTCATTGTGAAACAGTTTTGAGGGCATTCTGCCCCATCATACGCTGCCGCTATCATATGGCGATGTATGAGATTGCTTGCCGGCGCTTCCTCCGCGTGCGTGAATTTCCTTTGGAAATGACGAGACATCCGCAGGGCATCGTCTGGCCCTTGACACCACGTCCAGAAACAACACTATTGCTCACATGTTAGGAACCACGACAGCTGCCTCGATTATGCGTTTTTACCTACGGGTTTGAGGGACAAGCGCTGTGTCTAGCGTGTAGTTTAATACCCAAAAGCCCATGAATACACAGCTGGTTATTCGCTATATTTTTTTGCTGCGTCAGCAAATAGGGCTCGCTCGGAAACGGATGATCATGATGGTAACGGTGACTTACAAGGCTCAAAACCACCGTTCGGGAAGTCCTTGACGACGTCGTAATCCAATGACGCATCCCGCGCGTCGGCCATGGCCCGCGCGGATCGAGCGCCCAGCGTCTTGCGTGTCAGGTCGAAGAAGCACCACCCCTCAAGTCCGACACAGACGAACGAGATGAAGGACAGAAGGTACTGCAGAGCGAGCCAGTCATCCAGGAAGGAGACCACGGGAGCCGCCAAGGGCTCCCAGAGGCCGAGACCGAGGGTACCAGCCGTGGAAGGCATGGCGTGCAATGATGGAGACAAAAACGAAGGGTGAAGCGAGTGGGAAGTGACCTAGTGGTAAGCTTCAACTTATAGCTACCAAATAACAAGGTGTCGGAGTCATATGTCAACGCCACACACACATACACTTGTCGCTGGACCTAACATGGCCACCGCCTGCCCAACTGTGGATCGAAGCGAGGATGGTTCGGGTAGTTTCGAGCCCGCGGTGACGATCTACAGGGGTCAAGCGGTCTTCACCGCTCAAATGCATCGTTCGGTGGGGACCTGTGCAAAAATAGTCCCCGTTCCCCCAGCCATCATCAACCACGTCAATACACATACACCGAGCCCACCTTACGTGAAGAACGGACGCGATCTTGAATGCTCACTGGAGAGAGAGAGAGGGGTTTTTTTTTTTTCAAAGAGGGGGCGGAGGTATAGGTATCTATCTTTCTTCCCAATGCAAGTTGGAACTCGGTTTTTTTTTCTCGCTGGTGATAGTGGGACGTGCGCAGCCAGCTTTCTCGTTATCATCGGCGAACAGACTGTTGTTGCCAAGCGATTTTTTCTGGGCAAAGAGGTGTGTGAAGATGAACGTCAGCTTGAGTAGACACGAGGACGGCATTGTGACCCTTATAATTGCTCTGCCCCCGTCCATACCGGACACGACTTACCTAAACTACAGTCAACTCGAGGTTTCGCTCTAAGTAGGTATCAGAAGCTACGGGCGATGATGTCGAGAAGTTTTGACTGCATTTCTTTCCCCTCAGCAGCCCCACGACAGCCAGAGCTACCTATTGTAGTGTAGTGTACGGACATAGTGTACGTCCGTAGGTACAGTACCTACGTATAGGTCCTACGTAGGTAGATAGCACGACTACCTAGTCCGTACCTAGTGTACGGGTATGATGTGATTATCACCACTTTTCACACAAAGTGCGAAGCAGGGGTCCCTCAGTAGCGAAGAAAAGGGCATGATCCATTTGACATGTCATCCCAATTTGTTTGCCACCCTGCAAATTCACATATCTGGATGAAGTTTTAGAAGCAGGTGGATCGAGAGGTGCCTCTAAGGTGACACGACCATCATGCGCACTACCAACTTAGCCTCACAGCAGCTCGTACGGTACTTGTACATTAGCAGATGCTTTACCTACGAAGAACTCGACATAGTGTAGGTACCTACCCGTGTGGTTGAACTGATCAGCCATTGCCTGGACACACATCAAGTACCGTGCCGTAGCCGACGTCTGCTTTCTAGTACGTATACGTCTAGTGACTGCGTACCGTGGGGAAGGGAGAGCGGGGTGATGATGGCGACTGGCGACTGGCGACCTTTGACCTTTGACCTTTTCGGACAGACACCCCTCAATGTATGATGTAGGTAGTGTAAGATTACCTAGGTAGGTAGTAAGTATTATTAGTATCGAGAACCTTTCGTATCAGAATTGACCTCACGATAACTACAGACGTAATGGTCCCTAAGTAACTAATCCGTAGGTGCGGACGTACACTATCTACTTGTTTAGGTACGACAGTGTCTGATCACGTGCTTATCTTGTCGAGCTGTTGGTTGGTTGTGCGACTTCCTCTTGAGCTGTGATTGTCACTCGTGAGTGCTGATTAGGCCTAGCATATCGAGCCGTCAGAAGCCGATTGGCTCGGGAAGTTATCTATGGACCCATTACCAATCTTAGCTCCTGATAGGTTAGGTCATACCTAGCACACAAAGGACTCCAAGTAGGTACGGACGTACCTACGGACTAGGTAAAAGTGTGTGTAAGGGATCCCCCATAGGTGACCGAAATCCAGCTGTACTGTATAAAGTCTGGATCCTTACTGTACGGTCCATTGATTATATCGGCCTACCTATCAATCTGATGTACGGGCTCCTGTACGAGATCCGTACGTCCGTACGATGTACGCATACTCTATACTGTGTAAGCACAAGCTGTGTGTGGCTGTGATTACCTACTTCGTACTGACTAAGAGAGAGCACGTCAATCACTTACTTATAAAATGGGCACTTCTTCAGCCAGCTTCGGTCAGACACAGCCTGAATACTACATAGGTACTAACAAACAACTATCGACGGCCTGAGACTGATTTTCCAATACACTACGTCCGTAGTGTAATTGCACTATAGGCATTTTGGATCGCGCTTCTCCCGGTGAGAATTTTTCATCGGTAGGGTCGACAAAACTGCATGCATCATGTACCGACGTACGTACGTAGATACCTACAAGTACCACCTAGTGTACTACTTTATACGTATAGGACCTACATTGGCCGTATACTAGTGTTATACAGGTGGTAGCCAACTATCAACTACGAAGCAATCCGTATGAATTCGAATTTACCTACGTCCGTACTTATAAGTAGGTATAAGTAGTACCTACTAGGTACAATTGATAGCTTACTTCGTATATCTGACTGCTAGGGGTAGGTAGGCGTGATACTAGTGTAGGTATGTAAACAATGGCGTGGACATCCTCATCCAATTGATGCCGTGACCACGGTACGTACAGCTTGGTTGGCTTATGAAATGCATACACCTATCTACCTACCTCTCTCTACACTAGATACCTACACGGCCAGGACACTACCTACCTACCTATAAGTAAGACCGCAGCTGTACGTCCGTACGTCCATACATATCTAGTTCTACTGTAGTTGCATCTCCATCGATCTGCATGCATTGTGTTAGGTAGGTAGGTACCTACCTACTCGGTCCAGAGGCCTAGGTAATGCCCATACCATGGTAGGTATTAATGCGCGAAGGGCAAAAACCGCCGAAGCCTGGCAAAAAAAGTCTCCCATACACTAGTGTACTTATACCTACTACCTACCTACTGCGGTGTCAGGCAAAAGTTTAAGACCTTGTGAAGGTATTACGCTAAAGCGGAGGTCTACCGGCCATACTGAATCCAACTTAGCCGTCCGAGATTTGGTATTTCATGGTGAAGTCTAACGCCTAAGTGGAGAGTTTCTATGCTATATCCAGCATAGCCTCTTCGTGGATACACCAATAAGCAGGTTAGCCCTTCGACTTTATGGGGACAGTACTTGGCCTGAGCCATAATTCTGATTTCACGGCTGGCTTGAATACACGGCCAGGGTCCCGAACTTATACGTACCCATCACACCATAGTACTACTAGGTACGTACGTAGGTAGGTAGGTACCTATTCCGTACTTCTAAGTAGTGTGCTGCACGGGAATATATTCCTGCCGGTCCCTGCTAGTGTATGCTACACACAGCGACGACGCAAGAAGCGGGTTAAAGATCCCTTGGTGGTAGGTACCTATGCAAGTATGGTAAAAGAGAACAACAACAGAAGTGTGCGTTCAAAATGGCTGGGTAGGTTAGTTAAGATCGATTCGTGTGCGCGTCGTCGGAAGTGTGGCAGGCCGAATCTGACCGGAGCGGAGCAAGTCCCGTAGCGGAATTATGTGACACCGGAATTCCGTACAAAGTGGAGCAAGGCTCCAAAAATAAAAATAAAAATAAAAATAAAAAAATTGAGGGAAAAAAGCAAGTGATTGAATCACAGGCAATTCCGACCAGCACGGGACTCGAACCCGCAATCTTTGCCATGTCCGAAGACCGGAAAGCAACGCCTTACCATTAGGCCAACCAGCCGCTGATAGTGACTTGTTGTCTTGTTTGTGTAGATATCTTCACGAGTTGGCTCTGCTATCACATACACACCCCCATTGCTTATTCACAGATAATGCACGTACTTTAACTAGGTACCCGTATTCACCTGGTTTCAGTACATCTCTTCACGTCTCCTGTTTCCGCCTCTTGTAGCCCATCCAGGTATAGAACTTCGCCGCTGCTTCGCGTTCAGCTCAGCTCTTTTCCACAATGATCCACACTGCATTCATTTCAGATAGGTAGGTAGGTACCGTAGGTACCAATTCCCGGCATGCTCCGAAGGCCCCACAGTCATCACGTCGGGATCCGATCCGATATCTATCGGGGCAGCTCCGGCGCTCGGATGAGTATCCGAGATCATAAGCGGCGACCTATCTACGAAATATCAACATTGATCATTATGTGGACAACCCCGCAGGAGGGCATTTAAGAAAATTCCACGTACTTATAGCTACCTACCTATAACATGACCAAGACATGGGACAGGGTAGGTAATTTGTAGTTGACCTAGGAGGTATGTACCTATTAAACCACGGACAGGTGCATCCACACCTTATGAAGCTGCAGATGGAGATAATTACCTCTTGATGACCTAACGTTACATTCTCACGCTCTTGTTGGTAATGTACATATCGTACTGTTCATGCACTTATGACTGACGCTTTTTCTCGATTCTGGAGAGGGGTTAGATAGTAGAAGATCTACCAGCAGAGTACGGATTGGTGTATTTCGTACACAAGGTTTTGTAGATAGTTGCAAGTCTTAGGTATCGTCAGTCATGCTATCATGGATCACCCGGTAGTCCATCTTCTAAAGTCGCTTATGTCCACTGTCAGCACCAGCGAGCTCGAATACAACATCGGCGTCTTCCTGGAACAGTATCTCGAAAGCTTGGGCTACACTGTCGAGCGTATTCCAATTGCCAAAGGGTCTTCTCGTCACAATGTCTACGCTTATCTCGACTCTACCCGCAAGACACGTGTGCTACTCACAGCCCACATGGATACAGTGCCACCACACATTCCGCTGACCATCGATGGTGATATCATCCGTGGGAGGGGAGCCTCCGATGACCTGGGCCCACTTGCGGCTCAAATCGAGGCCGCAGAGGAGCTAAGAAGGGAGGGGAAGATCCGCCCTGAAGGTGACATCGGGTTACTATTCGTAGTGGGCGAGGAGAACGGCGGACATGGAATGGTTGCCGCAAATGATATGGGACTAACTTGGGAATCTGGCATATTTGCCGAACCCACAGAAAGCAAGCTCGCGAAAGGCCATAAGGGACAAGTAGCCTTCGAGGTCATCGCTAAAGGCCGCGCTTGGTAAGTCGGTGTCTTAGATGCATTCTAGTCCATGGGGACGCTATACTAATGGGACCCGTCAACTAGTCACTCGGGTTATCCTCATCTCGGCAAAAGCGCGACGTCTATGCTTCTAGCCGTCTTAAATGACCTCTCAGCAGTAGGCTGGCCGGAGTCCGACCTGCTTGGCCCTTCTACATTCAACATTGGAACTCTCGAGGGCGGCGAGAAACATAATATTGTAGCGCCATCGGCCAAAGCCCTCTGCGAAGTTCGCATGGTTTCCGACCTACCCGACATCAAAGCCAAGCTCATGGAAAGAGTCTCACAGTTCCCAGACGTGGAATTGAAGTTTGTGTTCGAGTATCCAGAGGCGCTTTTGGATTGGGAGATTGACGGTTTCGATTCGGCTCCCGTGGCTTTTGGGACTGACGTCCCTCGACTGAAGGACGAGTGCTGCAAGAACAGAGTGTTGTACGGACCGGGCTCCATCCTAGTAGCACATGGTCCAGATGAGTACGTTCGTGTCCCAGAGCTAATTGACAGTATATCTGGGTACAAGAGACTAGTCCTTCACTTCCTACAATGAAGCGCGTAGGGTTAGCACGGCATTTCCAGAATTTCTTTCGAACAGACGCCGATACTGTACTTTAAAAATCAAATGTAGGATCGCTAGGACGCAGCCACTATAAGAGATTCAGCACAATTGGAATCAAAGCATCGGAGATGAAGAAAGGCCCAACGTTAGGGGAATTCACGTACGTAGCAAAAATATATGCAGGGCATGTCATGCAGTTATCGAGACCCTTCGAGGCCAAAATAGCCCTGTCTCCATCCAACCTAGAGGATCACAACTACCGCCGCGCACCCTCAAGGTAGTCGCAACTTTTGCAAGCTTACCCTTTTACTCAACAGGCTTGGCTTCCATTGATGGAATCCGTGAAAATGCTGGACTAAGCCCCAAGCAAACAGCCGTCGCATACTCCGTGTCATGACTGATGCTAACAGACGCGTGCATGTCGGGATGCACGCCATCAGCTTTGATAAAAGCAACAAGTGGACTGCTCCGCGGCATCGACGTATCGTCTTTCGGAGGCTGTGTTTCTCTCTGCTCTTCGCGGCCCATCATATCCGTACGCATCCGTTCAGACATATCGAGCAAAGAGGCTCCGGGTGATACACCAGACCCAAACCCCATCCGCAAGATAGCAATACTCCTGAAAGTTAGGCGACGGTAAGGATGCGCCTTGATGACGGCTTCTTTGGCAGCGAATCTGGAGCAACGAGGAAATTCGTGAGCGCGCGACCTCGGAGTAGACTTTGATGCGATTGGCTAGACGTCTCACCTGCCAGCCATGAATTCCACTGCCCTGGTAAAACGAACTTCGCCGGCACTAAATGCCGGACCTGCCTCCACCTCCTCCGTTTTCCGCGTGGGAACTTGCACGCTGTGAGAATCGGACACTTTCTGGTCAAGGATGCATCGGAGAATAGTCGCGGTGGCCGATTGTTGGATTTCTTCGGGCGTGAGGATACGGTGGACAAATTGGCGACTCAGCCTGCCCTGCAGGATGCGCCTGACCCTTGCCAGGCGACAAATATCATTTCCTATTAAAAACGGCAAATTCAAGGGGGGTGACATGGTGACGAGTTCGGAGAAGCGTCACCTTGTAACAAGTGCGCGACCGGGACTTTTCATTAATATATACGTACGTAATCCGTACCTTAAGTAGGTACCTCCTAGGTAGGCGGCTTAATGGCTTAGGTAAGCGCGCCGACCCACCGGCCGGCCGGCAGGTTGCTGTTAGTTAAAACTGCGAACAAATGCTTACCGCTTAGCATGTTTGTCAACTTTCTTACTCTAAAACACCACGCTGTAAATTCTTGGGAATGTCTCCAACCTGGTCATTCAGCATGCTCATCTTAGTGAGTATTGACGTGCGTGCAACGCGGCATCGTCCTGGAGAAGCCGCTGACGACATCACTCAGCACACGCGATCATCTGAGTCAGCAGCTCTTCAATCTGGAATCTGCAGTGTAGCAAGCGTTGTTGACGCCCAGCCAGCGGCAATAGGTAGTTTCAGAGCCTGGTTTTGACGGGGACGGTCGCTGAAGGATTTCGCAGCGAGAGTAACCAGGTCCCGAGGATGAGTAGCGTTGTTTTACCGTGTAGCTGACTTGGCGCCAACGATCCACTTTCTCCGGCGTGCTTCCTGGAATTGTTCCTTCATCCAGCTCACGAGGCTGCGTGATGAGACTTATTCCCTCTGGATGGATATAAGAACGTCGAATTTCTTTTTGTTATCAGTCGGATTGGTCTCTTGCACTGGCGCTGCCTCTAAAGATACAATTCATAAAAGGCAGTAGACAACCCAAAAAAGGGCTGGCGTCTACTGATATGAAGTTGCTATGTAGAAACACGACTGTACGATTGATGTTATATCTAGCCAGCATCCCCTTACGCCTTTCAGGTAGCTCTACGACCGCCGGCTTCAATTAATACCACAAACGGACCCATCCGCATTGCGAGGCATGTATGGAAAGAAAGGGGAAATTCATAGTCAATCTCGTCTCGTTTACACCATGATTAATATGATTTATTACCAACACAACATAGCTTTTAAAACAACGCACTACAAAATACCTAGAGCCGAATCATCACAGTAATAATTATCAGCCTTTTCAACCCGATGACGACGCATATTCCCAACATACCCAACAATAACAAAACGCCGTTCCGCAACATCATTACTCGTCTCACAGCTTTTATTAAGCACAGTCTCACCTCCAAAACTACACTAGACTTCCATTCGCCAGAGCCTTGGGGGGGGGGGGAACCCGTACAATGTCGAACTTACACAGAGCTAGGTTTACAAGTTTCTTTTTCTGTTTGCCCCTAGTTGTTGTCGGTCAGGAGAGGGGCTCTCTCGGCGTCGCTCTCGCGTGCTCTTCCGAATGCGGCCGGGATGGCGACTGCCACGGTGGCGACGAATAGCACGGCCATGATGGTGAATGCAAAGATCCACTGCAGTGCGATGACCTGGTCGAAAAACTGGGAGACGCCGATGGCGGCCGAGAGGACGGAGAGATTGAAGCCCATCGTGTAATCCTGAACTTCGTGAGCATTGGTTGTAGAAGGGCGCGGAATGTCACATACCTTGTATACTGTGATGAAGAACAGGCCGTATAAGAGGATGCTCCAGATGAATATGTTACCGAAGATCCGAGCGACTTGGGTGTGCGCGTTGGGAACCATGATCGCTCCGTTCCAGAAGATGGCGACGAAGGTCCAGGCTAGTGGACCCGAAACGGCCGGCGCATGGATGAAGCGAGCGTACCCGGAGTGGCGGAAGTACAAGGAGGTCAGGTTGACGAAGTTAAGGATGAGGATCAGCTCAGCCCAGCCGAAGACGGAGCGCACGAAGAGCATCACGAATGCGAAGTGGAATAGGTTATTCAGGATGAAATGGCTGCCCACGGAGCAGGCGGCATTGACGCGCTCGGCATTGCCGGAGAAGAGATGAGCAATATAACCACCCTGGAGAATGAAGAGAACGATCCTAGCGATTATGGATGTATTAGATAGCTGGTAGGCACTCGCGCAAATGGGAAAGGGATGCTGGAAACTGGATGTCCAGACGATCTTACCAATAGATGCTGACGATGATGTGATTCATCCGG